TTCAAATGAAAAGGAGAACCACTCAAAAAAATTTTCTACAAAAGCATCAATGGCTAATTTTGCAAAGTGTCTAACAATTAGATCTAACGGCTAAAACTAAAAAAAAGATCTATGAATATACAAGCTTATTTGAGTCTAGTGAGATTTGATAACAATACTACTATTATCTATAAGTGGTTCAAACATGATTTTCATACTAATTTCTCTTAAGCTCTTGCCTCTTTCATATAATGCTTCAACTTTAGTATTTTTTTTTTCCTTTTATAAACAATGTTGGGAATACTCAGTATAACGATGTGAGAATTACTTCCTTCAAACCAAAATTTAGAAATTAATGGAGGAGTTTATTTTGGGTCTAAATATGATATTTTAATATACTTTATTTATTTTCAAAATTTATAGTTTTTTTCAAACTCTTTCTATTGATTACACGTGTATGTTAAAGGAGGGGTTCCATCAAATCATCAATCAATTGAGTAGTTTAATACAAATGATTAAGATATATATATATATATATATGAAAGATACTGACATGTATTTTTTTTTATAAATAGTTAACTTAATTAATTTATTGACAATGCTGATGCTAAATGAACTATTCATCAATTTTTTCTTTAACATATGATCATTCAAAAGGCTTTATTTGTATGTATTGTACATCAGTATTTTTGTGTATATATTTTCTTCTCATCAATCTAGATGGATAATTGATACAGTCAAATTAGACAAAGGGGACCACCAAATAGAGTCAAGATAGAGCCAAAATCGATGAATATGACAAGCATTACTCAAATAAATCAGTGGGACCACTAAAGCCTTCTATCATGTGAAACAGAAAAACTTTTGTCATATATATATATATATATATATTGTGTGAAATTCTAAGAGCACATACATCTGACACACCAAACAAGAGAGCCTGAAGCGGACCCTTATAATGTATAAAGCACATAGATAAACTGTTACAAAGTAAATAATTTTCACTTGCCAATACTCCTTTGCAGTCTTCTAAAGTCTAATCTTCTTCTTTTCTAGCTTTCTCTTCTTCATTGTCCTCTGCGTCCATACGTCTTTTTCATCGTGGGGAGTTTTCGTCTTCGTGGAATCTACACTACACTTTGTCTCAATTAGTATTTCCTCTACCCGTCTCCTTTTCCTTCGCTCCTCTGCTTGTAATCTTTGTTGGGTCACCTCTAATTCACTTTCTTTTTCTTTTTTTTCCTGAAAACCCTACCTTAATTGAAATTATTTTTTTCAATCTTAAATAAATTCCACATATCTCTAACTTGGCACCCACAGAAGCAATTATTAACGGAGTTAATAACTTTTTTTACAGGTTGGATGAGTTGGGCTGATTTATTAATGATAAAAAATCATTTTCTAAAAAATTGAAAAATAAAGGACTGAGTTATAAGTGAGTTAAAAGTTAAGAGACTAAGTCGCAACGAGTCATAGTTGAAGGACTGAGTTATAAGTCAGTTAAAAGTTGAAGGATTAAAAGAATAATTTTTCCAAGATTTTAATATACTTTATTTATTTTCTAAATTTATAATTTTTTTTCAAACTCTTTCTATTGATTTCACGTGCGTGTTAAAGGAGGGGTTCCATCAAATCATCAATCAATAGAGTAGTTTTAATACAAATGATTAAAAGATATATATGAGAGATACTGACATGAATTTTTTATAAATAATTAAATTTATTTATTTATTTAATATATGTAAATTAATTATCTAACTTTATGAATTTATGTTTAAAACAAAAGAAAAGTCTCAAATGATTTTGCTTGTTGATTAGATTTAAGCTAAGCCAAAATAAATCATTGCATTCCCTTTATATCTCGGTAACGTCACTTGTTGCAGCATATATACAATGTTTATATTGTATTTTAATTAAAAATCTTAATAATAAAACCTGCTTGAAATGTAACTTTAAGCCATTGATTCATGTTCAAAAAGAAATTTTAAAGTGACGACTGAACATATTTACATATTTTTTAATGTAATTTTTTTCACTCCTTCACCTTGATATGCCTAAGACTGAGAACAAACAAAAGGATACAATAAAAAACCCCATAGCCACATAAGAATCGTGGCAAATAATAACCAAGGTGAAGAAACATATTGTTGCCACCAATTTCGAGGAGGGCAAAAATGTAAGACTACACCTATAACCAAAAGACTCTAAAGATGACCCATGTAAATATGAAATATGCTTATAACATCCCTTTGATTAGTTCCCATTCCATGCGCCTTATGAGGCCATCATTGCCAACTAAACTCACACTTGTATAATCACAACTGAACAAAACAAGCTGTAACAGACAACGGTCCTTCAATCTGGATGAGCATAATAAACTTTTAATTTGCTAAACTTCCGAACAACGGGGTTTGAGATTGCCTAAGACACTTAAATTGAGTTTCTCATTATTACTACAATATATGCTATTTCTATCTGCTCTAAAAGCCTTTTTTTCCTTCTATTTAAGGGGAGGTGTTGATAAAGAATATGTAGATAATAGTACTTATTTGTCTGTTTTAAACAAACAACAAAACATCACTATATATATTTGTCTGTTTTGGCAAAATAGACAAAAATAGTGCTCCTATATTCGTCTGTTTGGCTAGAACAAACAAATATAAAATCTTATATTCCTCTATTTTGGCTTGAGCAGACGAACAAAAATATTTTTTTAAAAAAATGTGAAATTATTTGCCTTACCAGTTTTTCTTGCAACTTGCAATTTTAAAGTGCATGAAGCAAAACCAAAAAGAGCAAGAATGATAACGATTCAGTAAAACCAAATCATGTTACACTTTCCATACAAATCACAATTTTAAGGGTTAAAAAAATGACAATAATAATATCATAATTAGCTCAATTAATCAAAAATACTAAGCACCCTAACTTAGTCATATAACACAAGAAAATATAAAAACAAAAATTCTAGTAACATCCTAACTTATTTAACATCTACCTCTCTACAACCCCCATTGTATATTTATCCAAATGCTCATATTTTATGGTTAATCATCAATGTTAAGTATATATATCTCTATTGCACTCTCAATTTTATAGTTCAATCCTAACCATTGATTTAATCTCTGTAATAGAAAAAATATTCAAATAGTTTTAGTTCATGTTCTCAAATAGTCTTCACTTGAAATAATCATAATAATGGTTTCTCGTAATAATTAATTTTGTTTTGGCTTACATAAACATTTCCATATATGGTTGGGTGATAAGTAGAAAGAATGGTGTAAATAAAAATTTATAATTATAGCAGCGGCATGCACACACCACTTGATGTACCAACTTCATCGTATTAATTTTTAAAATTTCATAGCTTTTAAAGTTCAACATGAAAATTAAACATTGATGATACTTAATTAACTATATAATTCTAACCAAACTTCTCTCCTAGACATTTTCACAAATACCATTTGTGCATTAATATTTAAACAAGTTCATCATGTTTTTAATCTTCAAATGCCTGTTCAGCCAAAAAAAAAAATCCTCAAATGCTTTCCCAATCACTATCAATGCTTCCCAAAAGCTATTATTCACCAACAATCAATTTAAATAGAAAATTTACAACACCCACAAACCTAAACAATCACTTTCAACACCCATATAACAGTCACACACAACCAAAAATTTAGCACCAAACCAAATAACTTACCTTGCATCTTGCAAAGTTAAAGCCATGGAAAAGGAAGGAGACAAAGTCGTCGAGCAAGCAGGAGAAGAGAGGAGGAGCTATCCGCCATCGAGAAGAAAGGCTAGCTATGGAGTTCACCGCATTGTCAAGTTGTTGCATTACTGAGAAAGAGAAGAGAAGAGAAGCTGTCATCGGCCAAGAAAGAGGAGAGAAAAGAACACTGGTTATTGCAGGAGAAGAGAAGAAGATAGAGAAGAGAGAGCTTGTGGCAAAGGAGAAGAGGACAAGAAGAGAAAACTATTGCCAGGGCTCACTCTGATTCGATTGAAAATATGTTGCTGCACTTTGGAGGTTCAAAATTTAAAAAAGAAGAAGTTTTTCTTTTGTTACACTAAGTAACAGATAAGTATGTATCTACACACTTGTCTGTTACAATGCGATAGACATGTATGACAATGCAATAGACATGTATGAATTATTCATGCTCATCTGTTACAGTATATACATACTTGTTTATTATACTATAACAGATGAATATAATGGTCTTTTTCTTCTATTTTGAAAAACAGATGAAAATGGGGATATAAATGATCTTTTTTGTAGTAGTGCATCCAAGTCCAACTATAAGGATCAAAACAAACTCTGCTCTCCCACATGACTTGTATTGAGATCATTAGAAACTGGTATCTATTTGCACAAGTATCTTTAACATTAATAACTGATACATCAGAAGTATCCAGATTCCAACAAATATTAATACCCCGTTTGATTCTTATTACAAGGCACCTTCCAGAAGGAACATATATGGTCCTTAATTATTATAAGTCATCAAATAGGGTATTAATTGCCTTTTTTAAAGATTGTCCGTATTTAAAATCTCATCATTGATTGGAACTTCTATGATTTCTTGGATGTAGTTCATGATATTAAATAAGGATAAATTTAAACAGTTTTTTGATCTTCAGACAAAATCAATGACCTAACCATCTTTTCTTGAATTGAATGAGGTGGGTAGTAATGACTAATAATAAAGAGCGAAGGGTGTACACCGAAGAAATTAAATGAAAACATGAAATTGCTTATACATTTCTGACTTGAGGAAGGACATCTACAATATATGGCCCAAAGAAGACAACATTTATTTTTCCTTCCAAGGAAAAAGAAAGTTAACAAATGAAATACATAATAGCACTGTGCAGAACCCAAAAAAAAAAGTATGAACATAAGAGGCCCTAAAGAAGAAAACAATTAATTAAGAAGAAAAGACAAAAATGGATGATCGATGTGTTGAATGAATATTTATGAGTGAATGAGTCAGTGAAATAGATAATAAAATGAACTACTCAGGAACTTCTTGTTGTTCATCATCATCATGATTTGCAGCAGCAGGAGGAGGAGGTGGGTCAGAATTATCATGTTCATCAGATGATGTAGCTTCAGGCTTATTCTGAGCTTCGTTGTTTTTCTTCATGGAAGCAGATTTAGAGACATGGGAATAGCATCCTTTCTCCTTGAACAACTGAGCAAAGTGATGCTTACAATATAAAAACCCATCAAGTGCTGCATAGTTTGATGGGCTCAGAAAACAGCCTCCTTGAGCACACCTGAAGCATGACTTGTGATAGAATTCTCCTTCCACTGTCACCTGCTTGTTGGTCGTCATCATCATCAGATCGTCATCTGGATTGGTTTTGGACGGTCTAGGTTCAATTTAATTTAGTTTTTTTACATTTTAAAATAAGTTTTTACATTGTTGATATCATCTAAAATAAAAATGATTTCATTTTTAAACCATTCCAACTAAAACTTTCTTCCTATCCTTAATATAAGACTTATTTAATTAATTTGGATAGATTAAGAAAGTTAAATAAGTTAGTTAATTATATAACAAATATGACATGATCTTCCTAAAATACTCTTGTATATGACAATACTCCTTCCGTCCCTTTTTATAAGCACTAACTACCGTCCCTCTCTTGTCCCTAAATATAAGCAACATTTATAAGTTGACTTAAATTTTTATAACAAATTTCCTGTTTTGCCCATCATCTCTCACCATCACACATTCTCTCTCTTTCATAATTCTCTATTCTCCTTCTTATACTCTCTCCCCCATAAATAAGGATATTTTCGAGAAAGAACTTCTAATTTCACATTTATTGTCTTTAATTGATTTTAACTTTTTTTTAATTTATGTGATGGAGTCCAATGTTTCTTATAAAAAGAGACGAAGGGGTTATTATATATCAATTTATAAGTTAGGCAAATTAGTTTAGAATAAAAATAACAAATATGAGAAATAAAGTAGATTAGCATTCTAGTTCTTTTTATAAGGCAGATAGAGAAGATTTTTTGGGTCTTATTTATAAGACACTGAGAGAAATTTTTTGTATGGATGTACAATTTTACCCTTAATTTATTATTGTGTTGACTTTATTTATGTGAAGGATAATAAATATTAAATAGGGATAAAGTTGAAAAATTGTTGAATTTTAAATGAGTTAATGAAGTTCAAGGTTGTCCTTGGTCTATGTGAAACATGTTGGAAGTAACTTATAAATAGGACCAAAAGAGTATTTAGGACTAAATCTAACCCACTAACTAGGTTGTAGAGGATGGAAAAGAGTAGAATAATAATAGCAATAGCCATAAAGGAGAGTGCAAAACAAACGAACCTTTTCAAGTGGGTAGACAGTTTTCTTGCAAGAAGAGCATTTGTCTTGAGTTCCAGAGAACATGGCCGACAATTTGCTTGGTGCCCTCGTCTGTACGTTCCAACATTTCAAAACCATACGAGGATTGTTTTTGAAATTAACTATTACATCCGGTCCTTAACAGAAGAATTAATTTGACACTCAATTTAGTCCTAAATATAATATCCTAATCATCTTTTTCTTATATCTATCTATTTTTTTCAAAGTAGTCTATGCAGTAATTGCATATGTTAAAAATTCAATCAAATGGTAGCTCTAGCTAATCCACATTATTAGTTAGGGTATTTTAGGAAAGATAGCATATATTTATTATAAATAACTAATTTAACAAACTTACTTAATTTATTCAAATTAGTCAACTAGATTTTTATTAAGAACTGGATGTAGTAATACATAACCATAATACATATACAAATTAACTGGATTTAGAAAGCCAATTAAAGGCATTTTGCAACAGAAGATTACGTACCAGCTCATTCTTTCCAGCTGATTCAGAATTGATATGTATGATCATGAAATAAAGAAACAATATTAATTCTTGATTAGCCCCAAAAAGTGATGATAAAAATATAATAGCGATGATTGCAATTTAAAGTTTATGTTTATATACATATATATATATATATTTATATGTATATAAGCAACTCATGATGGAACTCACTTGATAGGGATCTCCGGGTGAGTCCGCCAGTGCTCTTGAAAAGCTGCTCAAAATGAGGCTTACAGTACAACACTCCATCCACCGACGAGTACGTGCTTATCTATATATATCATTCCAAACCTCACAAAATTAAGGGCATTTGTGGAAAGATAAATAATTTTATAGGCATCAATAAATTCTCTTAGTTTAGGGTAAATTTTAGGTAAAATTGTCTTATAAATAGGAACCGAGTGAGTATTATGCATATGCATGTTTTTCTAGTAGAATTGTTATGAGCTCAGAAGAAAAATCTCAACACGGACGAGACCGGTACTTGTCAATTGAATCAACTTTTATTCATATAATCAATGGATTTCTTGGGGATTATGTCAAGAAAATTTTAATTTCAGTACGATTTTCAATCATTAGATTATCATATAGTCATTTGCTTTGTAAGTGAAATGGCAAATAACATATATGATATCAAAATGGCTAATGAAAATCTTTAAAACCATATTAGCTAGACTATATACTGAAAATAACATCCACCGGATGCGCTTAATTCAAATGTCTCTTTCGTTGATGAATAATGTCTGTTTTAAATCATTTTGGTGACCTTGAAAATCCTCCAAAAACCAGTTTAAAAATCCAAAAGTCCTTTTAGGTTCAAAAGTTATGTTTAGATTGACACTGGAATCGAATGAATTTTTTGTCAAAAACCAAGTTAAATCTAAAATCACATTTTGAAATGGATATTCAAACTAACTTTTTTAACAAAAAGTATATGTAAATATAAATTACACTACAGAATTGGCTTTTACCCAACTTTCAGTTTGCAAAATGCAATTGGGATAAAAGTTAATTTTGCAAACATTAATCCAAACAAGCTTTACATTATTTATTTGCTTCTTTCTTTCTTCTTTTTCTTTTTCTCTTTTTGTTGTTGTTTGTATGGGATAATGGTACGTACCGCAAGGACGCCGTTACACTGACTGCATTTGAAGCAAGTCTTATGATAAATAACTCCGTCTGCTGACACAGAATCCACAAAATGAGCAGTTTTATCACAAGCCTTGCATTTCTGTTGGGTTCCGATGAACGACATGTCGTTTAATGGTCTTTTCCCTCTTTGTAATTTCCCCCCGATGAGCTTTATTGCAATTCCCCAAGTAATAACAAGAATATATATGATTTGCTTTCAATTATCAGAGAAAAGTGTCCCTTATTGAATCTGGAAAAAGCTTTCAGATAATAAAAGAACTCAAAGTGGGAAATATATTCTATTTGTCATCCTCCACCATCGCTTGTAATAACTTGCGAAATTAAAGCTGTAGCAATGAAATGAATCAAACTGGTGGAGATAGTGAATCCATACATAAATACCATTAAACGCATCCCCCTCTTCTTTTTTAATTTGGTCGTTTGCCATCACACGCAGTCTCTATTTTTAGATTCCAACTAATATGGACATTTTCTGACCAAGTCTCTCTCTCTCCCCCTCTCTCTCTCTCCCTTACTTTTGCTTGACTTCACATATGCAGTTTAAAATTGTTGTGTTTTCTCAATTAGTTGCACGAGACAAGTCCTACAAAAATTTACCTTACACAAATAATCCCTTTTATATTCTCATGTTAGAATAAGTTGGGCAATTCAATAAAAATATACATAATATTAGGGTTAAAGATCAATATTGCCCTAAAAGCTTTTGCGCATGAGCTATGAGTATTGAAAAGTTTCTTGGATTTAGTCTTGCCCCAAAAGTTGTAAAATAGGAAAAATGTTACCTTATTCTAATAATAGCCAAATGGACGTCTACCACATCGGGCCTTATGCCATATATGATTCCACATGAACATGACTGTGCTTTTTCTTTTGATCAATTTTGTAGAGAAAATTTTCGTGAAACAGCAATGTTGCCCCAAAGTGTAAAAAATGAGCAATATCACCAAAATTTAACAACAAAAATTTAAAAAAAAGCACACTACCTCTGGTCCTTAATATAAGATCTCGTCTTTTATTTTGATTCTAAATATATGACCCTAGTTCACTTTTTCTCTCATATTTATGTATTTTTTCCCAAGGTAGTCTTTCTAATAATAGTAGTTGTCACATCCTGAATTTTAGGCCTAGAAGTACCAAAATTAGCCTGAAATGGGTAGGCTACGAGACTTTTTTGGCAGAGGTCCCAGAGATTTCCTAGAAGGACGACAGGATCTCAAGGACTAAATCGCAAGGGAAAATTTTTGAGACTGAGAAAAGAAGAAGTTAGAGGCTCAGAAGAAGTCTTGGAGCCCAAGAATGAAAAATAGAGATCAATATAGGCCAAAGATTATATTGGAGGCCTCAATGAGGTGAATTTTGAAGTTAAGCCAAACCAAGGGCAAAATCGTAATTGTGCAAAGTTTTGGGCCGATAAAGGGAAAAATAGAAATTATGCCTAAAAATCTCAGAAAAATCCCAGAAGATGAAAAAATATAGGTTAAGGCCTAAACACTTCAGAAAAATTCTAGAAAAATAGGAATAAAGTTTAGAGGCCTATATGAGACTAAAAATGATGAAAATGCCCTTGGAAGGAATTTGTGGAATTCCTAGGATTTTGACTAATTTTGAATATTATTGAATATGAATTATTTAAAGTATATGGAGGCCTCAGATAATTGAAAGAAAATGGGAGAAGATACTTGAGGAATTATCATAGGTTTTAAAAATAATTCTGTTCCCAAAAAGTGAAGAGGTTGGCTTTAATAGAATTTAAAGTATATTTATACACTATCCGGTAAAAGTCAAAGTCAACTGTCTAGAGATTGACTTTGGACTTAAGAAAAATTAGAGGAATTTCCCATGATGAATAAATAGTATTGGTACCTGGAGATAGATTCTCAGAGTTGTGGATCGGTAGAAAGAATAAGATCAAGATCACTTCGAAATAAATATTATTAATTATTTTAATGGAAGAACAAGGGAAGAGCATCACTCTCTCTTTGGGCATGTTATATAATGCCATGTGGATTTATTTGAGGTGAGAAAATGGTACTAGAACACGTCTCAGTGGTCTCGGGTAAATCAGGGCTCGAAAAAGTACCATATACGGTGCAGAATGGCAAGACAAGTGGAGGAATGCCTAAGGATTGTATTTTACACGAATTTTATATTAATTTTATCCCTATTTTAATGCAAAAATGATGAAGGAATATGAAGAAGACAAGTGTATGGTTAGATGGGAAAAGAAGATACTAGGTGTACGGGTGGATGCAAGACACGTGTACAGTCGTATTAAAGATATGTGACTTGATGATGTAAGCATGATATCATAGGACACATGTCATCACAAGATTAAAAGAGAAAATGGATAGTCCAGATCAAGCTACGTATTTTTAAGATCAACGACATAGATTTAGTCTTATTTTCCATAAATACCCCCTCCCCACCCTCATTTTTGTGTAAGCTCATGGAATCATAAGAAAACTCTTGCAAAATGGATTCTAGAGAGAGAAAGAAGAGAGAGAAAGAAAGGCCAAGTGACCCCATGCAAGATTAAGCTCTGAAACAATATATGTTCATGGTTTTTTATGTAGTTTTCACTACCCTTGTTGTTATTGAGCTTGGTTATGGATTGTAATAATTTTTGGGAGCTTGAAACCCTAGGGGCATGCTACATGAAATTGTTAAGGATATGGGAAGATGAAATTGATGTTATAATAATGTTTAAAACTTGAAAGAACAAAAATAAAGTGGTTTTATGTTGAAACTGGTTGAATTTTATGATTGTACAACTTGAGTAGTATTTCGGCCAGACCTGATTCTTGTGCCTAGGATGTGATTTTGCTGATTTTAATACTTCCAATGTATTTAAAATGAAAAATTGTGTGGGGTAAAGGTAAGAAAATAAGTTTGGAAGCATTGGAATTAAAAATGGAAATTTTGGACCCTAAAGGCATACTATTCGGTCAAGGGTGGTTCATGGGGAAGGAGTTTGATTTTGATTATTTTGAGCTTGGAAATAGATTTTACATACAAAATTGTATGGGAATAACATGTGGAATTAATTTTAGAAAGGTTGGAAATCAAGTTCAAAAGTTAGAAGTCAATATAGTTCAAAGAAAATAAAGTATTGATGTTGTTGATTACCATGGCTCTAAGAAATGAATGGAAATGATGTGTTGGTGCATTTAGGGTCATGAGACATTGAGGAAGATGAAGAGCAAGCAACCTTAATGGTTGGTAGCAAAGGGAGCAAGAGGAAGTAAAGAGAAAGTTTAAAGACACAAGGTAGCAAACTTTACCCTACTCTTATGTGCTTGGTATTTGCTTGCATGTATGACATGTTCTGTGTTTATATGGTTTTATGAACTCATGTATTGTGATTGTGAATATGTTTGAAATGTGTCATAGGCCTATGTGTTTTATGGTTGATGCATGATGATTTCCAAACATGTCACTGTGTTATAGAAATGTTAAGTTGCAAGCATGTTATGAATACCAAGCTTGCCATGTATGTTTAGGTGGTTATTGTTTGCTACTAAGATTTTTCCGAATCTCACCCTCCCGTAACCAACCATAATAGGTGATATAAACAAGCGAAGAATACATAAAGTGAAAGCAAGGAAAGAAGAAAAGAATTGAGAAAATTTGTTGTATTACTTTATACACTGTATACACCAATATATGTTGTAAATATGCCATTAACGGTATGTGATGATAAATGATGATGTTGGCCTGTGAAATTGGCTATAATAATGTATAGGAATGGTTAGTGTATGAATGGAATGGTATTATGTATGGAAAGTATTAATCATGAGCAATTAGTGCAAGTTAAGGGGATAAACTATTCCTAATTGAGCAACGAAATATTGGTAAAGTATAAGTGAGGTAAATGATTGATTCTACTAATAAAATTTGACATGATTAAAATTCACATCCTGAGTTTTAAAACAAGTAGCAGATCACTTAAAACGGATATGTGTGCTAAAAGTTATGCCCTCATAAAGTTGAACCTGTAATTTGGAAAATGCTCAGTGAATGGACCTGAAAGCTCTCTGTGACCCCATGTCGTAACTGGGAAGTTGAGGTCATGACCAGGAAGAAAAAATGGCCTCTATGACTTCAATTCGTGATCAAAAAGTACCGAGTCACAACCCAAACATTATGTGGACTCAAGTCAGGACCTGGCCTGAAAGTTTGAGGAAAAGCTTCAATTTTGTTGCAAATTTTCAATCTACGGGCTTGTTTCGTGAATCACTTGAACCATAACACTTCCGAACACGTACTCTGAGGGGTTAAAGGTAGGATGTTTTAGTAGTTCTAGCTAATATATTTAATTAATAAGAATATTTTAGGAAAAATAGCACCTATTTATTACAAATAACTAATTTAACTTATTTTCTTAATTTCTTCAAATTGGTCAACTAACTCTTATATTTAGGACCAAAAGTAATATAAAAGATTGATAAAGATGCAAAGCAAAGTAGATAATAGAATGCTGAATTTGGAATAGTCAAAATATATTGATTGCTAATAAAGATATAATATTTTGAAAGAGCAACTTTTATTTAAGGCTTAACCCAATTGAATTTTGATTGGTCAAAATATAATAAAGGCTAATTTCCTTGTACCCTAGCTCCATCCTTGCACACACATTACATATTTAGAGGGAGCTGATAGACATAAAAGATTTCATATCGGTATGAGCATAATTAATTTAGAGCAAGAACAACATCACCATAAATAAGTAAAACTTTAAATATATCGGTCTCTTTTCAGACACATGAACTTGGGATTATTATAGTAAATTTCATAAGGCAATATATAAAAGTTGGCGCAAGGATTAATTAAGAGAGATGGGCTTTAAAGCAAGGGAAAAGAGAAAACTTTCGGGGACTATATCCACGAGAACGATACTTTGCAGCATTTTCTTCCACCTTGAGAAAGTCTTCATATTTCTTGGCCTCAATCACTGCCTTTTTCTCTTCTGCTAACTGATGAATTTCGGCCATTTTGTTTTTCATTTTCTCCACATAATCTGCCTTCTTTTTCTCCAATCCTTCCTGCCATAATACAGGACATTTTACAATGCCAACGACAATAATAACATTATCAGACTTAACCCGACACATAGTAGTGTATGTAGGCCCTATTTGGCATCACAATTAAAATCACTTATAAGTACATTTCATGTAAGCTCATGAGATAAAACTCCTCTCACATATTTATCTTATATTCTGTAAATCATAATTAAAAAACTGCATATAAGCCATTTCAAACGAGTCCATAAACTCTTCTGTAAGTAGAAGACTATAGGTTCCCCTTATGTGATATTAAGCTATTACCTTGATCTTGTAACAAAAAATATTACTCATATTCATTTATTATTAACATATACACACACACTCCATCTTGTCTTTAGTATAAGGCATTCTCAACTAATTCTCACACACCTAGAAATGTTTAAAGCATTAAATCTGTCATAAATTGATAATTTTTTTCCATGTTTACCTCAACTTAAATGATGTAGATAGAAAAGTACAGAGTTCGACGAGCTTATTAATACTAAACCTGAACTCATAACAAGGTTAAAATTAAAAAGTAGAAAATAATGAGTTAGTTGATGATTTATAGTATTTAGGATCAAAAATTACTTTTAAAAGATGCCATATAATAAGGACTAGAGGGATAGCGTATGTATGTATAATGAAGAGATTGCTATTGGTGTTAATAATATTATTACCTCCATCGTCTTGATTTGAACTTGAACAGCTGCCTTTTTCCTGTCTTCCCACAGTCCAATCATAGAGAGCTTCTTACTTGCCCTGTTTGGCATTGGGATTTTTACTTTTTATCAACAACACCCATCATACGCACAAATTGCAACTTGTTTTCGCACTTAAAGTCATGAATTAGGCCAGTTAGAATTTGTTAACAAGCTAAGAGTAAAAAATAAACCTTGTACATTATAATAATATGGAAAAAAAAATTTTTACGGTACTACCTTCGATTCTTAATATAAGAGCTTATTTAACTTTTATTTTGGTTATAAATATAAGACCACAATCCATTTTATCTCTTATATTTATCTATTTCTAAGATAGTCCTTGTAATAACAGTAGTTCTAGCCAATACACTTAATTAGCAATGATATTTTAAGAAAGACAACGCCTGTTTATTACAAATAACTCACTTAACAAACTTTCTTAATTTAATCAAATTAGTTAACTAGCTCTTATATTAGAGACCGGAGGTAGTAAATAATTAACATCTTCATCATAACTATTGAAAATAAGAAAACTTCGGTGACACCCAAACGGCCCTTAAGTAGTTAATTAAGCAAAAGTGATTCATTGTCAAGAGTCTATAATTCATTATGGCCATCAAAATTTGGATCCCCAACAAACAAAAATTATGATATCAGAATCCAATTTTTTTTGTTAAAAAAAACCTTTATTTTTGCATGATAAATAAGCTACTTTGTCTTACTTGTTCTCTACTTTTGCCTTCTCACTTTCTTCCCATGCTCTAACGAAGGCTAATCTTTTTTCTGATTCAACTCTTGCAAAAGCAACATCTGATGATGAAACCCAAACGCAAAAAGGAATAGAAAATTAAATAAAAAAAAGGTTATTTTTCTTTAAATTACTGAATATATTAGGACTAAAGTGTAAATTTGTCTCGAAAATTTTTATTCAATAGCAATATTGCCCCGAAAGTTTTTTAGATTCAATGTTACCCCTAAAATATTAAAATAAAGCAATGCTACCCTTTATCATTAAAAATATTAACTGTTAATGTCAATTGTTTAAATGGGCAATATTAATTTTTCTAACAAACGAGAGTAACATTGTTATGTTTTAAAACCTTCGAGGCGACATAAAAACAAAAAAAAAAATTTAAGACAAATTTACACCGTAATCCAATATATTATTATACACATTTTTAGGAAAGATATTACCTCTGTCTGTTGAAGTCTCGAGATGTTTATCAACTCCAAGATCTGTTATGTAAACAAAATCACATGTTCAATGGAATAATGAAAGAAAATATGGTTCTGTACTACAACGTCGTTTTGGAGAAAATTGATGAGAACACTACTGAGGAACGACGGGAGAGATGAGAGATTTACTCTGAAAATCAGTAGCGACAAGAGTGAGTTTCTGGTTTACGACGACGTCGTTTGAAGCAGAGTCTGCTTTCTCCGAATCCTTATTATCATCTTGGCGAGGCTCAGATGTTGAGGCCACCGCAGAATCCGGCAGCGTCTTATATGACTTGCTGGCTTCGCCTTGCTCCATGACGACGTCGTAACGAACTATGTGGCTCTGATATAGGAAGCTATATTCCCAACTCTTCTTCCTCGGAAAACAATGAGGTTTTCATGGTGCTTAGTTGGTGACCGCCCTCGTTTTTATACGCCACAAAGTGGGGCCAAGTATGCGCCCTTTTTCTTGTTCTTTTTAATGCTGATAAGCTAATTAAGCTGCAGTTAAGTTTTTGTAGGTAGTATTATGAATATTGAATAATCGCACAGAAAAGTATTTTTTGTTATAAAAAAGGGAAAATTACTATGAGCTCTAACGAAAAAATATAATTACTAAAAGGTTTCAATAATAAGTAAATACCTAAAACATATGATTTACAATATTAGAACTTCTCATTTTAAGCTGCTCAGTTGTTATGCGACATATTTTTTGTTAAATATACTCTTTCTTTGAGATTTATAATAATTTTCCTATAAAAATTTGGTTGGGTTGAGTATTAGGAGCTCATCAGACATAGGATAGAAATCAAGTGTTTAGGAAGGGAGTACATCATATTACATGATCATAAAAAAGGTGAGCATGGATCGAACAGATATATTCAATTTAAATAATTTTTATGCTTTAAAGAATTTTTACCTTAATAGATATAAAATTTAAAATAAAGAAAATCTTATAACTTACATTTCTTAGAAAAATCAATTTATCATTGAAAAAAATAATATATTAAAAATTTTAAATTTGAATTGTTTAAATCAGATTTAAAATGGTTCAAATTTTATTTTAGGATTGAGAAGTAGGTCTTAATTAACATTAATAGCCTAATTTGAACCTATATGCAAGGTTGTCAAGCTCGCTAGTCTAAACAAACTCGTGAGAATGATACAAATTCAGATCATAAACTAGGATTGTGAACTCGTATATTAATAAACTGGTATTAAAAGTATATAATCAAATAATTAATAGATAAAAAAATAAGAACAATTTCATTTAAATATATTTTAAATTTAAATAATTGAAATTATATCCATCAATGTTCACAATTTATCACCAACCAAGAAATTTTTATAAAATTCATATATAAAGTCACTAAACATAATCAAATCCAAAAATTTAGCACAAGTTTAAGAACGAGTTAACACGATTTTGTAAGATTAAAACATAAAAACGGTAAACTCAGTAAATGAACTCATAAGTTTAATTGATTTTACGGTTATCACGAGTTTAAGAGTGGATTGATATGATTTTGTTAGTTGAAAATATAAAAACGTTAAATTCGGAGAGTCAACTCACGAATTTGACAACAATGGCTATACGCTTTTATGAAGCATTTGCATCCATACCAATAAAACTAATTTGAAGGGGCAACTATGTTAACAGTGGTTTAATCAATTGAAAAAGATGATTTTTTTACATAAAAGGAAAAAAAAAAAAAGCTTAGGTCAAGTTTCTTATATCTATTATGTCAAGTTTTTCAATCACACATGGTCATGTATTCTTTTTTGTGTCATAATTGAATGCTATTAAATACTAATATTTCAAAAATAAGACATATGCTAATGTATAATTGGAGAACTTAAAATAATAAATATAAAAAATTTGATGTAAGTATTTTCTTATGGGAAATTAGAGAAACAACTAATATATACATCCATAAAATACAAGCATGAATTATTAAAAGTTATCTAAACTTATGTAAAGGACAGCATGTTTATGTGCAAAAAGTATTACACGTGCATTATGATCAATTGTGTGATTTTTTTGACCAAATGTGTGATTTATTTCTTAAATTTCATGGAATATACACAAAAAATATGTCTATTTATTTTTTTGTCCGTACTGAACCATCTTCTGGGGGGGGGAAAAACATTGAACCATCAATTTTACTTAGAATAATATATTAGTTTTCTTATATTCATAATGTCAGGTTTCTTTTCTCATTAACATTTATATTTTTTATTATTCCATTTCTATTGTTGAATATTAATTAATTAATATTTCTTTTTATTACTAGATTTTTTTAATCTCTGTGAATTGATTAAAAATGATTTATAAATAAAACTGGAGTGAGTATTTTGAGTATACATTTGGTGTTGTGTTATATTATCTTACTTCTGATTCTAAAATGCAAATCACCTCTATATCATTAAATACTTATTTTTAACGTATACCCTTACTTATCGATAAATGCTTATTTTGGGAATCATTAGAGAAACATTGATTATCAAGTGCAAATTTTAAAAGAAAAACCAATTTAAAATGGAAAAATTAACTTTAACAACAACAAAAATAATTGCAACTAATATTTAGAAGCAAAGATAATATTTTTTCCAATGACGCAACGTAGAGGGTCATGTTTACTCTGTGATATTTTGACATGTGAAAAGGCAAAACGCAAAAAGGGTCAGCATTATTTTTTTAAGAAAATTATTTGGTGTTTTTAACTTCCCATAATTGTTAATCAACATATATATATATATATATATCTCTCTCTCTCTCTGAGGGTTATATAAACCGTTGGAGATACCCACTGGAGAAAATTGGATGTATGGGCTATGAATATAAAATTTGATTAGTTTCGTGTTAATTGATTAGCCAATTAAAGAAAACTGAAAACAATGTGATTAATAAGTTGCTAAATTACGCTCATTGAACGACAAAGAATAATCCATACGAGGCTGTATCGTTTGGGGATTTTAGAAAGTCCCCATTATATATTATGATTGATCTATTTAGTTCCTTAATTTTTTTGTCGGGATCTTGTAGTTCAAATGGCATGAAGCAGCACTGGCAAAAAAAAAAAGTATAAGAAGCTGGCAAAAGCAAAATGGCATTAATCACCTTTCTAAAACTTTCTCAGTACATGCTTTGGCAGTGGGAGCTCAAAGAGAATTTCTCCTATTTATCCTTTTAATAATATTCCTTTCCTCTTTTTTTTTTTATAAGAAACAATTATTGTCTATATCTTAAAACTTTCTCATTTTGCCCCTGTTAATTACTTATTTTAATATTTAATATATTTATTATCTTATTTCATGAAGTGTTATTCCCTTTATTTTGATAATTTCTCTATTTTCTCTATTATACTCTATCCTCTATAAATAAGGGTAATTTTAGGAAATAACTAATTTTTTTATTGATGTGATTTGATTAAATGTTTCTTATAAAAAGGAATAGGGGGAGTAAGTATTAAATGAAAATTATATTTAATTATAATAGTTATTATTTTTAATAATTATAATTAAATTAGAAAAAATTAATCTTTTGATCCTTCAAGTTTTAACATGGTTAAAACTCAGTTCCTAATCTTATTTCTATTTAGTGCCTATTTGGATTAATATTGAATAACTATGATTTTAGATAATCATAAATTTTATAAGTGACAATGGCTATAAGTGATCGATGTTAATTAATCATAATTTCTATTTGAATATATTTCTTTTATAAGTGACTTTAAGAATTGTGATTATGTTTAATTTCCATTTATTAAAATCCGTTATGGATGTATAACCACCAAAAAGACATGAATTAATAAATATTAAATTTAATCATTTGGGGAGAGATTTTTGGAAGAGTGTAGGAGGATAAATTGAAGAAAATTCAGTTGATAAAAATTGATCAGTATTTTTCAAACGCATAAGCTACTCCTTAGTACTTATTTAGATTTAAATGGGCTTATATGAGCTCTTATTGCTTAACTAAATAGGCACTTATTAAATTAGCCCATGTGGCACTTACCTCACCTTAGTCACCACCCACTCATCCTATGTAACTATTAAATGAAAATTATATTTAAAGTGTTAATATAATTTTTGATATTACAAATTTGTATGATTTTAGTTTACAAATTTCAAATTATAGGTTTTAATCTCTCAAATATTTTTTATTTAAAACATCAATTCCTATAATTCAATGAAAATTTGAATCATGTTACCTTTGTGGACCACAGCTTATTATTTAAAACTTGAGAGACTGAAATCAAAGGGCAAACTTGATGAACCAAAAGTTAATAATAGTTACTCAAGGCGAGTTAAGTATGACATGGACTATTTTATTAAATAATAAAAAAATATTGGGAACAGAGTTTTAACTGCATAAAAAGTTTAGAGACTATGCATGCCGAATCATAATTAAAGGACTGAGTCATAATTGAGTTAAAAATTGAAAGATGAAAAGATTAATTTTCCCATTAAATTAAACTTGTATTAAAAGTAATAACAATCAATATTTTAATGGTAATTATTATTAAATGAAAAATATCTTTAAACAAAATTATAAGGGAAAATTAATCTTTTAGTCCTTCAGCTTTTAACTCATTTATAACTTAATCCCCTCAACTATGACTCAGTGCGACTCTGTCCCTGAGCTTTTAACTCGCATATAACTCAGTCTTTTATCTTTTGCAATTTTCATATTACGATCCTTTCCCTTCACAACTCTGTCCTATGTGGCAACACACTCTTCCAACTCAGCTCTACCTGGTTTTTTTTTTAACAAAATTTAAATGAAAAAAAGGGCTGGAGAGGACCGATGAGGGGGAAAAGAAAGTTGCAGAGAGATTTACATCATCAGACCGAAGCTTGCTAGCATCTGTCTTTTGGTCTCTGATAAACAAGACAACCATGTCCCTATAGATGAACCTAAAGATTCACAACTTCACATAGTGACGAAGGCGGACTTATCCAATTCAAGGTGTAGCTCATATTTTCGACAGTGGCTTCTCAATTTGTTTAGCCGAATATGCAACCATTGCTTCTATTCTGGCATTGGCTTCAATGATGCATCAATTCTTCTTCCCCTTGGCACCTTCTTTCAATTATTTTAAGTTACAGTAGAACTCAGGCCTTCCCATTAATTCATCGATTGAATTACCAAGCACTGATGTCAGCGAAAATTGATAAGAAGGAATCAATTTAAAGCACCAGTTCCCATCTAATGCATATGAAGATATTATCAATTGTGATTGTCTTGTTTTTCAGAGACCACAAAGATAGACGCCGGCAGGCTTGGGTCTGATAATGTAAATCTCTCTGCAA